TGGTCTGTGTCTCGATGGGTCTGTTATTTACTAGTGTAGCTTCCGGTTCACCCACGGCAGCAGTGGTACCTACCGTTGGTGTACATACGATGTTATTTTGCGGTGATCTCTCAACCAAGCCACTTAGAGTGCTTGTTAGCCATCTTTCCAGTAGCTCTTTGACCGCTGAGGGTGCTTCCGTAGCCGCAGATGTGGAAGCTCCTTTTTCGTGCAAGATCGTCAGGCCTTCGGATGGGGAAGGTGAGATCTCTGCACCTGGTGTGATGCTAGGGGTTGCATTCAGGATGCCACCGTCACTGACCTCGTTGAGGGGGCCCAGGAGATTGGTAGTGACACCCAATATGGCTTTCGATCTTGTGTTATTTTCTGTCATTTTCTGTTTTTGTGTAGTGTAGAGAGTGGTAGTTGGTTGATCTCTAGGTGGATACTATGATTTTGATTCTCGAAATCCCCACAGACGGCGCCAAATTGTTTGGCTCAAAAGTTAACGATATACTTTGTAAGCGATAAAACAATCAAAAATAGAAAAGGGGTAAATCGTAATCAAATATAATAAGCCTAGAGATGCAAAGATGATAATATTGTTGTAGATCTGATATTGCAAAGTGATAATGTTTACCAATAAGATATTTTCGTTAGAGGTAGAGATATAGAGAGAGTTGTATTAGATCAGATCCCCCTTTTACAATGTGGAGGTCTCCTTTATATAATAGGAGACCTTCCTCGAAAGAATCAAAAAGTTACAAAAATAGGTAACGTCTCCCTATCGTGGATGCTGAGTTCTAAACGATGTCGCTTTTGTCCTCACGGCCGAGTCGTACCCGCTACGTTGGTCGGCGTACACTCATTGGGCGTACCCACTGGTGTAGAGATACTGAGGGTCAAATTTGACCCTATACAACTGTATTTAAATTAATAATTTATACATATTTTATAAAAAATTTAAAGACAAATACAAAAATTGAACTAAAGATATAGAATTCAACTCTCAAAGAGCTTAACCTATGGTCGAAGTAGAAAGCTTAACTGTAACTTATAACAAAACAATTAGGCCTTGCAAGAAGGGTAAAAATAATATTCTAATTATTAGATAATTAATAAGATTTCTTTTGTCGAGGTGGTTAATATGTATTTAGTTGTGTTTTTATATGAACAGTTTTAACTTAGTTTTGCATATATTTCATTATTTATATGTTATTTATGGAAATAATAGTAGACCCTCCGTTTTTATTTTATGACAATCTTTTCGTTTTGGTCCGTTTCAAACTGAATGACATTATTTAATTGTTATACAACCTTCTCAACTTTTAAGAATTTAAATTTGTTAAACTATTCAGTCTTTATTTTTTTTTATTTCTGTGCTTCATCTACGTTTAATGAGAGGTTTTGGCTTTGAGCCTCGAAAATTAAAAAAACTCCGAATAGAAAACATGTTTTCCTTTAATGGGTACACACGTGGCACAAATTTACGTGCTAATGAGTTCCGAATATCATATGATTATTAGCCGCCCCGCCAAGCAAAGCCATGATAATTGTCTCATCTGCATCTGTAAAAAGCCGCGTAGAACCGGGTCCCAACAAGGCAGTAGGGTAAGAAAAATTAAAATTAGTCCTAATGATACAAATAGGTTACTATATGCTCGTAAATTCTCATGCAAAGCTAAATATAAATATATAAGGCTCTTATAATAACTTCCTTAGTCTCAATTTATGTGATATTTTTTCCTTTTAATCAGTACTAAAAATCTCTATGGCTTATTTCACACTGTAACTTTTATGACGCGTTTTTATATTAGTAATAATTTAATTTTAAAATGCTCATATTATCTTAATGAGATGATTTATAGCTACACACAAATATCTATGGCTTATTTCACATTGTAACTTTTGGAACTCCAGGTTCAAATACTATCATATAAATTGGGATAGAAGGAGTATTTAATTAGGCTTTGCATGAGAACTTACGAGCATAACAGGGGTGAAGCTACACTCTGTCGGAAAATTACACTACGTATATAGGCAAAACCAGGGGCGGATCTAGGGTGTAAGATACGGGTTCCCGGGAACCCATTAACTTTTGCGTAGACCCTGTATTTTTGTTAAAAAAATTATTAAATATCTATAAATATCTATTTGTGAACCCAGTTATTATTATATATTAATGTGAAATTGCGACAGGAACCCATAAACTTAAAATCCTGAATCCGCCTCTAGGCAAAACATTAGGTTTTAGAGGTATATAACATATATTGAATACTCTTTGTCGGGATTTTTTTTTACTTCTTTCAAGTTTGAACATCCTAGGGAAAATTCCTGATTTCGCCATCGGAGCATATACTATGCTATTTGTATCATTAGGAGAAAGCACCATTAAAGTTTGCAAGTGATCATTAAAACTAATGTACGATAATAATAATAGTACATTAGTTTTAATGATCATTTGTAGAATTTTAATGGTGCTTTCTCCTATAAAATTCCAATCTTTCTAAAGGTATACTATCACAATCAAACCACTATTGTTTCTTGAAAACAGCTGTTGCAATTGGACATGGAGTGGGGCTTGGAAAATTCATTCTTGTGGGTCCCCTTAATTTCCATTTGCTATCCTTGTAAAATGACAGCCTAATCCACATCTTGTTAAGAGCTAGCTGTGGAGTTGAGTTGCCACTAAAAAACTCTTTTTTCTTATGTTTTCATTGTAACAAATTCAAGAAATGCAAATGTTTTCATGCCAGAGTTACACTAAATAACAAGTTCTGTTGCTTTCTTTCTACTGGTTCATACACACATTTCCAATCTGCAGTCTTCTTTTTTCTTTAATATATAATCAAGAAATCGCCAAGTAGTAGTGTACAGTTCGAAAATCCGTGGATAATAGACACGTCCCTCTACCCTTCTCTACATAAATACCTCCGTTTGCCGCAGGGTTTGAACCTGTGACATTCACCTAACCCACACGTCACGTTTTCTTACCACTAGACCAAAGCCAAAGCCAAAGCCAAAGCCGGAATTTCAATTTGCAGTTTGAGGAAAGTTGTTAGCTTTAGGGAAAAAAGCTACAGGTAGTGGAAAAGCTCAGTTCTGTCTTGACACTATTTTTTCTGAATTTGGTGGTAACCATAGTTTATTGGTAGTTTCTTGTGTTTTGTCAGTCAAGAAAGCTTTTTTCTATTTCAAGATTTTTTTTCTTGTGTTTTCTCTAGATAGATAAGTAAGATCTACAATGCTAGAATTGTTGATTCTCAATAGTACTTAGGTGGCCTTTATAGTGCAAATTTTCTAGGAGAATTGGAGTTTATTGTGTATAATAATTGGCTCTTTAGGATAATGAATTTGAGAATGGTGCATTTGATTCCTTTGGTCCTAGTATTAGTAGTGTCAAGTTTTTTGACTCAGGATTCTAGTGCTGCTTTTACTCCTACTGATAACTACTTGCTTGCTTGTGGATCTACACAAAATGTGACTTATATTGGCCAAACATATGTTCCTGATTCACTCCATCCTTCAGTTTCTTTAGAAAGTAAGGAAAATTCTGTTTCTGCCACGTCGAATACTAGTGCTCCATCTTCAATCTATCAGTCCGCGAGAATTTTCCATAGTACGACAGTTTATAAGTTTGATATAAAGCAAGAAGGGCGACATTGGGTCCGTCTCTACTTCTATCCTCTTCCGGGGCACAACTTAAAGTCTGCCTCAATGACGGTTGTCACAGAAAATTTTGTTCTGTTGAACAATTTCAGTTTCAAGAGTTATAATGGTTCGTACCTTTTTAAGGAATATGCCATCAACGTCGATTCAGATAGCTTGACTCTTGCTTTAATCCCTTCAAACAACTCCATTGCATTTATAAACGCCATTGAAGTTGTATCCGTCCCTGATGAGTTGATTCCAGATCAAGCAGTCGCTTTATCTCCCTTAGCGCCTTTTAATGGTCTTTCAGGACTAGCCCTTGAAACTGTTTATCGTCTAAACATGGGAGGTCCTCATCTTACTGCTCAAAATGACACGTTGGGAAGAACGTGGGAGAATGACGCGAAGTACCTGCACATTAACAGCTCTGCAGTAGATGCTTCAGTTAGTCCGTCAAGTATAAAATATACAGCTACTATGACTCCTGAAATAGCACCAAATTGGGTTTACGCTACTGCTGAAACAATGGGAGATGCAAATGTACCTAATGTGAATTTTAATATCACTTGGATCTTTACCGTTGATCCAAACTTCATGTACTTCATCCGCGTACATTTTTGTGATATTGTCAGCGAATCTTTGAACGCTCTTCTGTTCAACTTATATGTTAATGATGATATTGCTCTATTGGACATAGACTTGTCAAACTTAGCTGGTAATTTGGACGTACCTTTATACAAAGATTTCGTCTCTAATTCTTCAGTGAATTCAAGTATGCTGAAAGTTAGTGTTGGTCCAGACACGAGTGCTGATTATATAAATGCAATTATGAACGGACTTGAAATCATGAAGATTAGCAACGAAGCCAGAAGCTTTAATGGGGTTCAATCTGTTGAGACTTTTCTTGTGTTGCCTCACAAAAAGAGCAAGATAGGTATCATTCTTGGTTTTGCCTTAGGAGCATCAGCTGCATTGGCGTTTATCGGGTTGTGTTGTTGCTTCTTTATAGCCCGCAGATCAAAGACTTCCAACCAAAGGCACCCGTGGCTTCCTCCGTTGTATGGAAACTCTTTAAGTTTGACAAAAATGTCTACAATATCTCGAGCAAGCTACATCTCCTTGGCTTCACCGAATGTTGGACGATTCTTTAGTTTCCAAGAAATACTGGATTCAACTAACAAATTTGATGAAAGTTTGCTTCTTGGTGTTGGTGGTTTTGGTAGGGTTTATAAAGGAACACTAGAAGATGGGACTAGACTTGCTATTAAAAGAGGAAACCAAGGATCTGAACAAGGTTTAGCTGAATTTCAAACTGAGATTGAAATGTTATCCAAACTTCGCCATCGTCACCTTGTGTCTTTGATTGGTTACTGTGATGAAATGTCAGAAATGATTCTGGTTTATGAATATATGGCAAATGGTCCTCTCCGAAGTCATCTTTATGGAACGGATCTCCCACCTCTCTCGTGGAAGCAACGTCTTGAGATTTGTATCGGTGCTGCCAAGGGGCTGCATTATCTCCACACAGGTGCAGCTCAGAGCATCATTCACCGCGATGTCAAAACTACCAACATACTCTTGGATGAGAACTTTGTAGCTAAAGTTGCTGATTTTGGTCTTTCTAAAGCTGGACCGTCAGATCAGACACACGTCAGCACTGCCGTTAAGGGTAGTTTTGGATACCTTGATCCTGAATACTTCAGGAGGCAGCAGCTTACAGAGAAATCAGATGTTTATTCATTTGGTGTTGTCCTAATGGAAGTACTCTGCACTAGACCTGCATTAAATCCAGTGCTCCCACGCGAGCAAGTTAATATAGCCGAGTGGACTATGATTTGGCAAAAGAAAGGCATGTTGGATCGGATAATGGACACAAACCTCGAGGGGAAGGTGAATCCAGCTGCCCTGAAAAAGTTCGGGGAAACAGCTGAAAAGTGTTTGGCTGAACACGGAGTTGATAGACCTTCAATGGGGGATGTGCTGTGGAATTTAGAATATGCACTTCAACTTGAAGAAGCCTCCTCAGCGCTAGCAGAGCCCGATGATAACAGTACAAACCATATACCTGGTATACCATTAACACCAGTCGAGCCATTCGACAAGAGTGTTAGCAAGATTGAAGGGATTAACTCAAAAACAGATGATGATGCAGGGGATACTGCTAATAATGCTGTTTTTTCTCAGCTGGTAAATCCACGGGGAAGATGAGAATAAATACTCCCTCGTATACGTGCTCTAAGGTCTCGGCAACTTGACATCACAAAATGTTTTATTTCATGGATTCAAGGGAAAGTGGATATCATTTCAAAATCTTTATATTAATAGTACTGAATGATTGAGTATGTAATATAAATGTTTAGTCAACCTATTGTATTCGTTGAAATTTGTCGTTCAAATACAACAAGTTGTAGCATTGTTTCATTGTTACATAGGTGATACAGTTGCCCTCTTTATTCATAGTTATACTCATGAATATGTATTTGTAAAAGCATTATAGTTATATACATTCATAAATAACAATATCAAGCATATGCTGCCTTCTCTCCAGCTGAATTATCTTCTGATTTAAGTGCTTCTGTTTGTTATTTTCATTTCTTCTGTTTTTTTACAAGAGGGGTTGCTCAGATGGTCAGCATCCCCACCTATCACCTCAGGGTCGTGGGTTCGAGTCAAAGGAGGAATAGCTCCAACAAAGGGGGATCAAAGGGGAATCAAAAGAGAGAGAGAAATCTTCTGTTTCTATTGCAATGATTATGCTCTGGTAAATTGATTGTTGGAAATCTGTTTTTGACTTCCTCTTGATTGAGGTCTATGAAAAATGGTCATGAAATAGTTCAGATTATCACAGCATATCTTTTTCTGTTCTCAATAAAGCCAAATTTTCAGCTTCTCAACATCTAAAACATCTAGTCTTTCGTGAATGACATATTAGTTTCTTTATTTTTCAATCAATTTATGCTTCTATTTCTTTCCTTAAACACACTTGGCCTAATAATAACACCATTAAAACTCTTTGCCCTTTATTTAAATATGTAAATGTGTTTACTGTTGTCACTTTTTCATAAGTTTCTAGGGAAAAGATAATTTTAAGTCTTAATAATGGTGGCGTCCTGGCCAGCCTTTCACATACCTCGACAAATCCGCAGAATTCATGCTACTTCTCACCAGCACATGTTTGGGATGACCTTATCCTCCATGGCTTAGAGCCTTAGACTGATGAGATAGAAGGGACGTCGTAGTGTTTTTGTCTTTATTGGGATTTGAACACTGATTTTGCCGGGACTTCTCCACTTCATTAACCACTAAGTCATACTTTGGGCGCTTCGACCAATTCGTTTTATAACACATACCAAAACTGTACAATGGGGACATCAGACCCAGTGGTGGTTAAGTGCTCGTGTATAGAACTTGAGCATATCCACTGATTAGAAAAAGTTACTGGAATTTCCCTGATCTCCAATCCCAGTTTGGTCCTAACAAACGGTGATGTGGGAATTAGACAGATAATACATGTCAACGTCTACTTATACCAAGCACTGCAGCTTTATACAGATTTGTCTTAAGAGGCGCTTGAGTTACAGCTAATGAAGAGGTAACTGATTGTAAATCCTCATAAAAACTTGGATTGAAGATAGGCTGGGATCTAATGGATCAGGATTTGGGGCAATTCTTTGACCCCTAACAGATTGAGGGTGCTACTAATGTCGGTACAATAGTGCTAAGTTTGGTATTCAAAACACATTAAAGCATGCTTTAGTTGATCAATTCGCAAATCAAGAAACATGGATGTAGCATATTGTTACTCGCCTGGCTCTGACTGTGAAGATCCTCTGAATATACTGCCGTCTGGTGCGATCTTAAGGCCGAAGATTCTTGGCATGAGCGTAAAGGGCCTGGTAAAAGTAACATTAGCTCAAGACAGTGTCTGAAGATTTACCAATTACTTGGTACAAAGGACACTAGCTTGGACAATAGAGACCAGCTTAACCTTTTCTTATTGTATTTAACATTTATTTGTGTATTATACAACTAGATTGCTTGAAAGCACAAAAAATTTACAGAAGCAGGACTGCCACACTACAAAAGACGAACATTGCAGATTCCAAGACAAGATATCCTGCTTTCTACAGCCGAGAGCGAATGAAAACCTTTTTTCTATTAGATTTTGAAGGCGTTGAACACTTGATAGGCTCATCAGAGAACTCAAAGGAATCCAACCCCGTGATACCTTTAGTTGACACCTCATTTTGCTGCTTCGTGTTATTCATGTCATCCTGAAATTTCTCCATCTTCGCTTGCATCTCCTCCATCATAACAGAAATATCTTGTTTCTCAGCTCTAGTGGAAGGACGTGAAGGCGATTGGTCCTTCAATCCCTCCTTGATAATTTTACTGCCACCTGCAGAAATGACTAAGCACGTGACAATCCATTTTAGTATATCAATGAATAAGTACATAAATGTTCGATGACAATATTAGTGATATCCATCAATAGCCATAAGATGTGTAACCCTAGCAGGCAGTGCACGACCATCAATGAGAATATAATATCAAGTATAGCCAAATCCGAAGGGGTAAACAATCAGTTGTTTGTATTACCCAAATCCAAACACATCAGGCTCCCAATATTGACAAGGATCTTCTAAAAATTCCTCTGCGCGGTTATTTTGCATTTTTGCTTACAGATCGATGGAATTAGGTGGGATTATAATGCATCATGTTAATGAGGGAAATAGGAGGGATTGTTTATCTGTGGCTACCACACATACAGCAATGTTTCTTTGCCGTTTAACCAGAGTCCTGGGGGCAAAACTCTCTTTTTATTATCTAACCTTACTGCTCGGAAAAAACGCTCCACATGTTTTGCTATGCATCTGTAGAGAGCTAAAATACTTCTTTTTCTTTTTTTTTTTTTCTTTCTTTCTTTCGGTTAACCTTTATTTCTTGAGTACACAGTACATATCAACTTATTAAAAGATGATTTGAGAACTCACAAAAGCTGATTCTACAGTCAAGAAGAATGAAGAAACTATAAGGGAAAGTATGGAAATTTAGGTTTGTGAAGTTATGCATGCAAGTTCAGCTACTATTTTAGTCATACATGCAAGTTCAGCTACTATTTTAGTCCACACAGTAAAGGCCATGCTCCATCTATAGTTCATAGGATAGAACAATGCCAAAATGGAGAAGTCGACAATGGCAATCGCTCAAAAGCCAGAGTTCTGTATCATACAAATAGCCTTTCAAGGGTCACTTCCAATTTCCCCCCTCCTTTCTCACCAACAGAAAACACGTCAAGCTTATGAACACTGGAATAATATTGCAGTAGCCCAGCATAAAAACAGTACACAAAAAATAGATACTGCACCACCAAAAGGCGATCCAATTTCAAGGTTTACCTTACCAAGGGTTACTACAATGCAGCGAGAGCAAATGGACATGCTAAGTTCGTAAGTGGTCTTAGATGCATCACATACAGCATTTCGCAGCAGAAACGACTTCCACTCAAAGGCGGATTAAGTCAGTGGACGCGAATTACTAATATAAACTCTACATCCTTCTTTGCGGCAATGCATGTGAACCTAGTTTATCTATAATTAAGTTATATGCATTGACGATGTAACGATCTTTTACACCATTGGTGTAGGTCGACCTACTATAGCAGGCAGCGGCGGAGCCAGGAGTTTGTACGAGGAGATTCCAAAAATACTGCAATGTCACACTTGCGAATTGAACCCGTGACCTAAAGTAAATTTTGAACCCCCTTTGTCACTACAACTAAATTTTCCTTGCATCAAGAGATTCAATTATTTATATATAACAAAAAAAAAACTCATGTTTTATCTATTTGCACAATATTAGTTTTTGGCAAAGAGGATTCAAGTGAACCCTTTACACCAGCCTAACTCCGCCCTGATAGCATGTTACTTACTATTTTTATCAACAACAACAACATACCCAGTAAAATCCCACTAGTGGGGTCTGGGGAAGGTAGGATGTACGCAGACCTTACCCCTACCCCGGAAGGGTAGAGAGGCTGTTTCCGGGAGACCCTCGGCTCAACAGGAGAGATAATAATATCAGAAAAGAAACACAAGAAGAGATCTGTAACAACAAAAGAAGCAAGAAAAGAAATAATAATATCTTAAAATACACCAAATAAGTGAAAGGGAGTGCAATAATACAATCCTATGCAAAACAACAAAATAGTGTGAACACAACATAGACCGCTACCAGACATAAGCAAAACTCAATCAGACTACCCGGTACAAAGAGGGAAAAACTATGAACTACCCCTAGCCTACAACCATAATGCTCAACCTCCACACGTTCCTATCAAGAGCCATGTCCTCGGAAATCTGAAGTCGCGTCATGTCTTGCCTGATCACCTCGCCACAATTCTTCTTAGGCCTCCCTCTACCTCTTCTCGTACCTGCCAAAGCCAACCGCTCGCACCTCCTAACCGGGGAAGCTATGGTTCTCCTCCGCACGTGTCCAAACCACCTAAGCCTCGCTTCCCGCATCTTGTCGTCCACGGGGGGCAACGCTCACCTTCTCCCGAATATCTTCATTCCTTATCTTATCCAGTTTAGTATGCCCGCACATCCATCTCAACATCCTTATCTCGACTACTTTCATCTTCTGGATTACTTACTATTTTTATCATGTTATCAATTAATGCTTATAGTAAAATTTACCTGTTATTACCTTATAAATGACCTGATTTCGTAAATTTTTTCTACACAGTCAGTGCATATAACATAAAAGTTTCCACTACTTATATGCATAATTGAAACCGAAGGCAGTATCAAAGCTAAAATATACTAATACCACAGCTACCGAACTACCACGGAACAATATCTTGCAAGTATAATACTAGTATATAACTTTCCCCTCACATTGGATCATATCGCATACAGTACAGCTTAACCTCATCAATATATACTCGAAAAACACACAGTAATTCCAACAGGAAAATTCAGAGATAAGTTACCTTTAACTCTATCTGTAATAAACAACGCGTAATTCAAAACTCCTGACTGCGCATAGTAGAAAGAGAAAGAGTGAGTGTGTGTGTGTGTGAGAGAGAGAGAGGATTCTGACCAGCGACGGTTTTAAGAGATTCGTCAACGGCAGAGACGACGGCAAATTTCGTGAGCTTTGAGAGAATTCGGCCGATCTTTTCACGGCCGTCAGGGTAAAAAACGTAATCATCCGTCTTTTGAGCGCCGTCATATTTGACGGAACCGTCGATTTTGGAAACGGCCGATGTAATACCGGCACTGTACTTGCCTTCTAATGCGCATGCGTTTGACGATTTCTGTTGAACTTTCCGGTTCAAAAGTTTGCCGGCGGCTGCTCGGAGTTCATCTAAAATGCCCATTACTTACCCGCTGTCCCACAATAATTTTGCTCTTAGCTGCTCTTTCTGTCTAAATAAAAATTGATTTTCTGTTTGTATATTATCGTGTTAAACTACCTCCCCGATGACGACATGATGAAAAAATAATTATAATATCAAAAGTTTAATATAAAAGTTTAGCTGTCAAACACGAGATAAATGCAATCTTAGATTTTATTTATATCAAATTTAATATTCTAATTCGAACAATCAAGCTGCCCTTAAGGAGTAGTTTAATGTCAGAATTAATTAAAAAATATATATGCAGTTATTAATAATATGGATATTGCCATGTATGCATTAAGTACTTGCTTTTAAAAGGATATTTTTATCTTTAAATATAACATAAAGATTTATAACTTATTGTATTTATTATTTAATATCGTCAATTATCCACCACTAATTATTCAGCACTTATATTTTTTTTTAGGCAGTCAATCAAACGTTAAAATGTTAGAATTAATTAATCGAAATCTTTAACCAATTGACGCGTAACAATATCAAACAATTTATTATTGAAGACTTAAAAATAAATATTAAATTTTTTTATAACAGTATTTTATTATAACATTCAAATATCTTTTTGGAATTAATTTTTCTTGTTCTATTATAATATATATATTATCTATAACTACACTTAACTATAGTCGTCAAAAAATATCACACAAAATAAAGTTGTTAATAGAAATTTTTGACTTTATATGTTATCTAGTACAATCAATTAGATTAACAGCCGTACTGCTGGTAAGGGCGGATGTAGAGCAAACGTTACTGGTTCCCGTGAACTCAGTAATTTTTGCATAAACCTTGTATTTATACTAAAAACTTTATTAAAAATATAAAAATATTTAGCTTGGAACCAGTTCGTTAATGCAAAAAAAAAAAAAAAAAAAAACGACCATAATAAATTTGAGCCTTCGAAATTAAACTATCTAAACTAACATTATTCGTGGATGATATCTGACATTTTGAAGCTAATTTGGAAAAAAGTATGTAAATACATAATAAGCCAATCAAAAACGATATTGCGATTTCTCCTTTCAGTTATACTCCTCGGCGGTCATATAATCGTTCAATTCAGAGAGAGAGAGAGGAATTGGATCGGCGATTGTTTTCCTATTTTTTCTCCATTTCCGAACGTAGCTCCGACCAGCGCCATTATGAATGAGAAGGCCAACGTTACAAAGGAACTCAATGCCAAGCACAGAAAGGTATCCACTCAAATTTTCATTCTTATTGCCTTTGAATTCTTCTTTTTCTTTATTTTTTATAACCGTAGTGTTCCGGCTAGTTTATATGCATGCGTTCCACCAATTCCACGAGTACATGCTACCTCCTAGACCTAGTACGTGTACCCACATTATGCGAAAGGGTGTCGATTGATGCCCCTTCGAATATAATGTGTGGTTAGGTAAAAAAATATTTTTATGTATATTGAATCTCCTTGGCTTTTGCCTTTTTATATTTTGACATCCCTTTGTAAAAATTCTGGTTCCGCCACTACACGTACCAGATAACTCTATCTATCAAGACTTGGACATATCGGAAAAAATCACTTAGTGTTTTTGTCTTTGCTGGAATTTGAACCTGAGACCTCATGATTCTCAACCCACTTAATTGGCTACTTACTAGGCCATGCCCTTGGGTGCCTTATTGCCTTTGTTCTTATTTCGATTTTGATAGCCGAAGGTTTAGCTTTTGGTTATTGTCTGGTGGATCAATATTGTTCATTGTTCTTATCATCTCATTTCAGATTTGAGTTTTATCATCCTTTTTTTCGACTGTATAACTGCCGCTCTGTTGATGATTATTAAATGAACCTTGTGATTAATGAAATTTCAAATGAAGTTTGTTGTGGGATAGATCAGTCAGAACAACGAGCTTTGATTTATTTGAGCTGTTAATTGATATGTCTAAATGTTAGCTTTTCAGGTTCTGTGTAACAGTTTAACTGAGTGAAAGTTAGAAAAATATTTAAGAGTAAATATAACTATCCGTATAAATCAGTCCGATGATAAGTTTATTACATAGAATTGATCAACAACAATGACGACAACTATGCTTCAATCCCAAGCTAGTTAGGGTCAACTATATGAATCATCACTATCCAATTTTCTCCATTTGAACCTTTTTTGTTGCAATATTCAATAATTTAGGTTAGCCAGTATTAGAAGTTCTCCACATTGAATTCGCCATTCAATAAAAGAAGAAAAAAAGAAAAGAGGGTTGTTACATAGAATTGCTCTCCCGTGATGGTGGAGGAGGAGAGACAATGTCTAGACAACTAGGAGGAGTTTAAGGATCACAGAATCACTTACTGAAAGCATACGCTGTTTCTTCAATTTGAATTGCCAAAGTTATACTAGCATCCTTTGTTTGAGGTGTTCAATTATAAGCAGCACCATGGAAGTATCCTGTGGGGAAACACACACAGTATTCTTTCTTATACCTGTACTATCACTTGCCTTGGAGAGGAAAAATGCAACTTTCCTCACAAATTAAAGCAAACAGCATTATGTACTTAACACACAGAACGCCGAAGGGAAAGAAAGATTATCACCACTGTAGTGGTCTGATTTATATTTATACTCACTCGTGCTTTTGGCTTACACAGTTTGTTTCCTGGTTGGTTTCATTTTCATTTTACACATGCATTCATGTTCTGTACAATATTGGACTGTGTTTGCTTGCAGATTCTGGAAGGACTCCTTAAGTTGCCAGAGAACAAGGAGTGTGCAGATTGTAAAGCCAAGTATGTACTAGGATATATTTGAATTTGATAATGTGGAATTCAGAACTTATGCTGCTGAGAGGATTGTTGATATTAAACAGGAATTGCCTTTAACGTATTCTTCTTTTTTATTCAACGCAGAGGTCCTCGATGGGCAAGTGTGAATCTGGGGATTTTCATATGCATGCAATGCTCCGGAATCCACAGAAGTCTAGGGGTGCACATTTCAAAGGTAATTTATTGACTATTCTACCATCAATCCGTCATCATATCTGAGATTTGCTAGATATGTCTGAACTATGAAATGGTGCAATAGTAATAGTGCATGTTTTAATTTATAGGTCTTATGACGATTGATAGACTATTAAGGCTCATAGTCTTGATTGACTTAAGAACCATTTGAACTACTAAATATTATGTGAAGCGTATACTTATTTTATCCTTTTCCAGCTGACAGCACCCTACTGAAATACATTGATCCATAGATCACCCGGATGGAGATGACTCTACGTTAATTGATTCGCCTTAGAAATGACTGTCTGTGAACGTCTCATCTCAGCATGCCTTCATGTTTGTCAGTGCTTGCTTTTGATAGATCAAGTATGAGAATGTATGCAAAACATGCTTTACATTTTTTTTGGCATATCTATTGATGATATGGTGATATAGTGGTGATCGGGCTGTTGAGTTTCTTTTGGAACTCGAAAATATGCTTAATTTTGTGACATTCTTATGTCAGCTTTGTCCGATATCTAAATATGTATATTTACTCCAATTGATGTTTATATATGATGCACTTTTCTCTTTTTTTGATTCACATGGTATAGTGGATTTCATTTTTAAAAATGTTTGTGAAGTCTAGAAAGCCTACCAATTGACGTCAAACCTTGTCGAATATCATTCAAGCCGTGCTTGAGCTCTTGGGTTTCTGGTCAATGCCGAGCTGCGTTTGAGCTCGCTTATGGACATGTCTAGCTCACCAAGATGGATATGACTCTATGTCCATAATTCACCATAGTTATGACTTTGCAGTTGGCGTGAAAATGAATTGTACCATAACATACATTGTTCTTTCTCTTCCCAGCTCAATTTCATCTCAAGTGGAGGGATTGGAAGTATTTTATGTACTGTGGTTGAACATCACTCTACTTTTACTTGCCTCTATGGATTCTTCAGCACATGAAATTAATGGTTCAATGAGGAGAGTAAATTAACATGGACAATTCGTGAGCTACTCGTTATCATGCTGTTTGCCCAACTTGCCTCATAATTCTTGGATCTCAAGTAGAGAACCAAGCCGGGCTCGGTTCTGTGATTCTCGGGCCATGATAATTGTTATTTATTAGTAATTCATTTTTGGTTATAAACCTTAGGCATAAATACCATATAACCATACACATTCCATCTTCCTCCTCCTCCTTAGCCACAAATTACTGGACTAGGGGTTTCACCACTGGCCTAGCAATTGACAGTCTTGTGGAATATCCTTCAAGCCATGCTTGAGCTCTTGGGTTTCTGGTCAATCCTGAGCTGAGCTTGAGCTCTCTTATGGACATGTATAGGCATGCCAAGTTTGTCGAGAGCTCAAATTGGCTAGCACTTACATTCCTAACCTCAATAATCATCCCTGGTTCTGAATTCTGTATTAAATTATTTGGCTAAATACTGTTATTTGATGGTTTTAATCCACTTTTTATGTACCGTAAATGCGTTGATTCTTAATTTCTTATGAATGCACACTGATGTATATCTGGACCATGTGAGATGAATTTCCATGCCTTCATGTGTTTCTAGATATTTTTTTTTAAATGACTATTATTGGATTTGTGAAAGATGCTTATTGTTTCAAAGTCTTGTTATGTTTTCTGTTGTTTGCGAATTTATGCAGGTTCGATCAGCTACTTTAGATACATGGCTTCCTGAACAAGTTGCATTTATTCGATGTAAGTCCCTTTTTTTAAACTCTTACAGTTTTGATGTTGATATCATACATAATTAGTAGCCTAAAACTGTTGATCTGTTACATAAATAGCTTAATTGTACGTGATCCCTTTTTTGATGCTGTATAGCAATGGGAAATGAGAAGGCAAATAGTTATTGGGAAGCGGAGCTTCCTCCAAATTATGATAGAGCTGGTATTGAGAATTTCATCCGTGCAAAGTATGTCTTTACTAATCCCTGGCTTAAGCAATCCTTGATCCTTTAATCTAGTATTTTGCAACTCATCAAAGGCAGTATCTGTGTTTTGTTTAGATATGAAGACAAGCGGTGGATCCCTAAGAATGGGAAGGAAAAATCATTTTCCAAGGTTCAAGAAGAGTTGACCACAGTGCAACGGCGACAACGTTGTGACAGAACTGTCCATGAACACGCTACTAAATCCGGCGGTTCATCCAATGAGCGATTAAGCATACAACGCCCTAGCATAAAGCAAGATATACCTTCTGCTAGATTCAATATACCTCTGCCTCCAAAAGCGCCAGAGCAAGTACGTCAAACCTATGTTCCAAACTCTGAATCATATAGTTCAACTCATGAAAAGGTATCTTCGGGTGTGGTTCCTCAGCAGACAAGTCAGAAGACACAACCAATTGCAGTCACTGAATCTGCAAAGCAGGTCGCAGAAGTTGTCGATCCTCCTAAAGTAGATATTGCTACTGATCTTTTCGACATGCTTTCTGTGGATTCTCCAAATGACAATGGCGCAAATTCTGCTTCTGTAGATGATAACTCGTGGACAGGTTTCCTGTGTACGTTAAGTCACAGTTTTGTTAGAACCGTCTTTTTTTATCTTTACTTTCCTCTTTACCCTGGGGAGATCATGATCAATCCTAGCAGAGACAAACAAAAAAAAAACGAGTATGGGCATTCATTTGGCCTTTTCTCTTAAATAATGATCCATAATTTTCGGTTCCTTCTACTTCTATTCTGAGTGAGGCTGAATGAACCCTGAGGTCGCAGGTTCGAGTCAGAAGGAGCAAAGTGGGGAGCTCCTGCGGAGGGGTAAAAAAAAGGGTGAATGGTATTTTGAGAAAAGAAAAAGCTTGAAAATATTCTTGGGGATCTGTATTGCAGTTGCTATGTCCTTTGTTTAGCTCGTTTTGTTCTAATCAAATCTTGTAAACTTCTCAGCTGCTCAAGAAGAAATACAAGCAGCGAAAACTGGTGTTGCAAAATCTGATCATCGGAAATGCCAATCTGCTTCTGCAATTGAAGATTTATTCAAGGATTCACCATCATTGTCATCATCAATTTCAACTTCTTCCTTGTCAGAGAAGCTTCCAAAAGATGTCAAAAATGATATCATGAGCCTTTTTGACAAGGTACTATTGCTATTTAGAACTGGAGCTTTATGTTGTTCTTGGTCTTTTCTATTTTAGAAGGTGCAAGTAGCACACATCGATGATAAAGTGGAGAAGGTCACTTGAAATGGTTTGGTCATATCACACGTCGACCTCCAGATGCAACGGTCTGTAAGTGCGAAAACATGGTGAGCGAAAGAATTAAAGGGGGACGAGGTAGACCTAAAATTACATGGGGCGTAAATTGTCGAGAGAGACATATAATCTCTTGGAATCCACGCAGACCTAGCGAAAAATAAGGCACAATGGAACAAAAAGTTTCTATATTGGCGATACCAGTTACTTGAGACTAAATCTTAGTGACGTTAGTATGTTCAATTTAGGTATTATGTTCTCTAGGAGTCTTTTAGTCGAGATTTATATGCCAATAGAAAATATATAGAATTCCTACCATCTCTCATCATTGTACAATATGGGTCTAACATGAACTTAATAGGGGCAGCATGGTCAGTAAGGATTCATATAGTCAACCTGGACTTGCTCGGAATTGAGGCATAGTTCTATGTAGTCTAAAAATGATGTTGAATATTCTGCAGTCCAATACGGTGTCACCATTTGCTATGCATCAGCAACAACTTGCCCAGCTAGCTCAACAACAGTCTCTTCTAGTGGCTGCTGCCGCTGCTAGTGGCGCTTTAAAAATCCCTGTGGATGTTCAACAAGGACCAAATGGCTCCAATATAGTGAATCAAAGTTGGCCAAATGTAGGCTACCAGTTCCCTGGAATGACGATGCCAGCCAATGGAAAGACTGAATTGGAGAAATATTTGCAGGTCAAAAATGCATGAATGTTGAGTTTTTTGTTGGAATATTGCTATAAACTCCACTAAAACTGTTTTTCGTTGCTTGTAAACTAACTAGGTGGGCACTGTGGGAGCAACACATTTAGCTGGAAACTCTGTGCCACTTTCAACATCCAGGTACTTACTTCTCGTTCTATGTCATTTGTGGACTGTAGATTGGTTCATAACAGCTAGATTTAGATGCAACAAGTTTTTTTTTAAGGCATAATCTGAAGTGAAAAACCTGAGGATAGGTTCTGTCTCAATATATTTTTTTAAAAAGAAAAAAAAATTAGTTGTTAATTAGACACAGCCTATCTTCAGGTTTTTTACTTCAGATTACACCTTCTGTCCTGAAGCATAAAATGAACTGTAGCATAATAAACGAGTTAAACAATAACAACTATGCCTCAGTCCCAAATAAGTTGGGGTCGGCTATATGAGTCCTTACTCACCATGTTATCTGTATTATGAGTATTCATCAGAATTTGGCAAGTTTTACGTACGGCAACCATCCTCCTTTATTCGGGGACAGGTAATGTGAGCAAGGTCACATAGGCGGAGTTTAGTAAAAGAGTTAACCGACTGAAACGAATAAAATTAATCATCAACTGAAACAGGGCATCCCGTAGATCTATTAGATGGTCATATGTGGTAATCTTTTCCCTTTAGTTTAAAACTTTGAGAAATCAGAGCATTTAATTTAGTCAAACCATAACATGAAAGCTTCCTTGAGAAAGCACTGCATCCACTACAAATTTATGACAATTTGTCTGATGTTTTATTACGATTTACTGCAAAGAAAGGGGGTTTTTCTAGACATCATGTATCAGCTTCTGAGACAAGACATGTGTTGAACTTTTAACTAAATTTGAATTTTGTACTTTGCTTAAAATGGTTTTGGAAACCTGGGACATTTCTCATCATTAATAAAATCATTTCTTTAAAAACACGGTTTTAAAAACCTGAAGATTTAGTAGCCACAATATACTGGTGTACAATCTGCTTGTAATAGCTATTTGTACATTGGTTTGCCACCCAATTTTGATAGTTAATTCTATACTATAACCAGGGGCGGATCTAGTAGTCTACATATGGTTTCATTTAACCTATAACATTTTGCCTAGGCATGAATTTATCTGTGTAAAATATATTGTAATTATTGAAAATATTGAACTATGAACCTGAACTCTAACAAGGTGATGGGTTCAATGGTTCGAATCCAAGGTAAAAATTGCACGGGGCGCCCTATTTGGTCGCCCCCATTTAACCTATGCCCATTTTTTTTAAAACTTTTAACTTGTACCCACTTTTTAAACATCTTCAGCTCCCTTTCTTCTCCGCTTCAGTACCTCACCAGAAGAAAGCAAGGATCTAGATTGAGATCAATATGCATAAAAACAACATCACAAGCTGTGCAAAAGCTACCCTTTCACGTTCTTACTTTATTTTTTAGCTTTTCTTTTTTCCAACTGTATGTAATATTAATAGTTCCAGCAAAATCTGATGTTGTCTCTCACTGATTATAGTGGTTTTTGTAGCTGATAGTTGTTGTGTGTTTGTTCTTTTTTCTTCCTTTAAAAGAAGCACTAGAGAAAGCACACCTTGTAGCCTGGTGAGGGAAGTCGATGCTACGGTCAACCCTGGTTCTGCAACAAGGCGAACAAACTTATACTGTCGTGAAGTTTTTAGTAGTTAGTAACTGGAAAACTTCAGCTCTAGTATGTAATATTTAATAGGTGGTAAAAAAACTTCAGCTCTAGTATGTAATATTAATAGGTGGTAAAAAAACTTCAGCTCTAGAGCTGAAGTTTCCCAGTTACAACACAAAAACTTCAGCTCTAGAGTTGAACTTCAGGCCCGGCTACTAGAATGCTGAAGTTTTGCGTGATTGCCTTTGCTACTTCAACCCCGTATGCTGAAGTTATGCGAAAAAGCGGGTACGCTTGCAATTTTTTTTGCAAAGCGGGCACAAGTTAAAATGTGACACAAAAAGCGGGTATAGATGCAAATGCCCCGAATCCAAGTCCTGAACCCATAGAACCAAAATCCTGAATCCATATCTCACTATAACATCTTGTAACCATTTCCCTTTTAAATAAATACTCACTGTCAGAAAATCTGGACTGATATTTTTATATTTCCTCTTGTATATTACAGTGTTTACCCAACGGGACAGAATTCTTCGGGCAATGGTACAGTCTCCTCTGTACCGAGCAGAGATGCAACAACCACACTTTCATCAAGTTCTACACAATCAACAAAAGAGTACGATTTCTCGTCTTTGACTCAAGGCATGTTCTCGAAACGCTGAAAAGTTTTTGAGGAAGTATACTAGTTTTTGGATTATAGTATAAAAATAGAGTTACTAACATGAAAATAGCTATTCGGAGGTCTCTGTGTTACTAGGAAATTATAGACTATTGTAAAGATACAATGTTCAGCTTTCTATGGATGAGTTGATCAATATCTGTAGGTAGAATAATAAGATGTTGAAATTGAATGGAATTTTGGTCCTTTCCCTTCTGACTGGAATAAGTATCCAACCTTGGCGTGAAGAAAAAAAAAAGGAAATTAAGTATAAGGGGTTCGGCTGACCCCATAGCCGAAGAGCTAGCTCCACCCCTGGCCCCTGCTTACATGTCTGTATGCTTGTGTCATCCTTCCCATGGTTGCACAGTTGTGATGTTACAAATGTGGCCTTCCGCCTCGGCGCCTCCTATATTTGTATATGTGGGCTTGCTGTAACACCGAACACTTCCCTTTTATTTTGTGCACTTTTGAGGAATAAGAGGGATGGAAAATAGAAGTGCGGGACATGTGCATCTAAGTAAAGGAATATACATATTTTATACACTTTTTGGCTAGTGAATGCAATTAATTTCGGCCAACCAACCAATTTTGTATTTTGCCCTATCATATATCCATCCATATACAAAAAACGAAAAAATATAGTATTAAAGAAAAATCATTCATTTTATAAATTCTTCTTTCCTGGGAAGACGAAAAAGCAGAGAGGGTCTACCACACAAGCTCATGATCTTCTTGACATCTTTACACGCAGAAACTTGTCGAAAAAATAGTTCTCCTATACATATTCAAACAGGCATAGGCTAAAAAAGGTATCGCTTTGACTAGACATTGAGCTGCTAAGATGTTTGGATAGTTTGCACAGATAACACCAACAGCTTCCATGGATACATAGCCGAATGCATTGAAGTGTAGCCAGTCCTATTCCAGGACATCGAGCTGAAACCTGTAGAGCAACATAATCTTTCACTTGTAGATTATGTGACGAGATCGTTGGGTTCACATATAACTTCAGCATCTAGGGTCACGGGGATAGGGGTCGCCAGAGGTAGAGCCAAGATTTGAAGTTTATGGGTTCTAAATTTACCATGAAAACCATAGCTTGTCTTAGTTACTGGGTTCGCAATTAAATTTTTCTACATATTTAATGAATTTTCTAGTACAAATACAATATTTAAGCAAAAGTGACTAGGTTCGGCCGAACCCGCACCTAATAGAGTAGCTCCACCTCTGGGGGTCACGGGTAAAGGGCACAAACCAAAGTATCAAAATCATCATCAGACTGTCATTGCAAACAACCTGTTTAAAACTACATCATTGCCAGCAATAAAATGGTACTTATTAAACTATAAGTGGAATAAATATGTGTTAGTACATATTACGTCAAATAGAGTTAAAATGGAAATATCACAGTTGACAGTAATATAATTCTCCGGTGTAATAATATTAGTTGTTAGGTGCTTAACGTGATATTTCATGTGTCCCTTTCTGGCATTGAGGTCAAATTTTTTTTTTATGTCGACTAAGGGAAACTTGACAAGTTTAGTCAGCATGAGAAGAGCTAAGTTGAGCTAAGCGGTGCCAAAATGCAAACAATTAAGATGTCTAGGCTTATTGTTTCAAGAAAATGGAATAATAAATGAAGATGTTACTCGTAGGATTAAAACCGAATGGTTGAAATGGAGCAGTGTTACCGGGGTGTTATGTGATAGAAGGATGCCTATCAAACTGAAACATAAGTTTTATAGAACATATATAAGACCGGCAACGTTCTATGATAGTGAATATTGGGGCCCAAAAGTCCGATATATCTACAAGATTAGTATGAAGAGATGCGAATGCTAAAATGAATGTGTTACATAAGATTAAAAATGACCAAATTCGTCACAAGGTGCAAGTAGCATGCGTTGAGGATAAAATGAGAGAAAGTCACTTGAGATTGTTTGTCCAGCATCGATCTACATGTCGGTCTATAGGTGTGAAACTATGGCGAGTGAATGTGTTAAATCGGAACGGGATAGACCTAAAAATACAAGGAAAGAAGTTGTCTAGAATGACCTACAAACCATTGGAATCAATGCAAACTTAGCTAAAGATATGACACAGTTGAAGAAAAAAATTTATATATGTGATATCTACTAGTTGGGAATAACTTTTAGAGAACTTTATTATTATTATTATTATTATTATTATTATTATTACTATTATTATTATTATTATTATTATTATTGTTGTTGTTGTTGTTGTTGTTGTTACTAATACTACTATTATTATTTATATATACATGCCATTTCAACACATAGTGTCTTCCCTTTTCTTTAAGTAAAGGGCAAAGTATAGGCACGATTCAATCATAATAGAACCATGCAAAAACAGAAGCTAGATCTGATCAGCTAGAAATTATCTTAAAAAGATGCAGAATTTTAATTGGTTAGTAAACAAAATCAGAAGAGTATGTCTTGCATACCTATGAGGTGGTAGAACCAGCAGAACTTTTCCTTAATCCCATGACCAGTTTCTTTCCTGGTTCAATTCGATAAAAAGTAACTACAAAACCAAACAACTTGTCGTCAGGGTACGATGATAATGTCTCATGCACGAGTAGAAGGAAGTAGGAATATATCATCTTCAGATGGTTTTCTTAAAACTTAAGTAGTACTCCGATGAACTGCAACATGTTACTGACCTCCTTTAGCTTGAAAATTACTTATATTACTATCATCAACTAATTCAATAATAGTCATCATAGATCAAAAAGATATGCTATGACTGTAAAGATATGCCACTTGGGCCTAACTTAACCGCAAAAGCTAGCTCATGTGGGGAGGATTGCCCAAGTCTATATAAGGAGACCACCAGTCCATTCTCCAACCAATGTGGGACTCTAACCCACTCTAACACCCCTTCGCACGCCCAGACCACCAACTGGAGCGTGGACAATATATCATAGGGGCCCAAACAGAAATGGACCTGACTCTAATACCATGTAAAGATATGGCACTTGGGCTTAACTCAACCCCAAAAGCTAGCTAATGAGGGGAGGATTGCCCAAGTCCATATAAGTAGACCACCAGTCCATTCCACAACCAATGTCGGACTCTAACAATCATCAATCTCAGTTAAAAACGCATGCTGCATTAGAGGGAGGGATGCAACCGACAATACCAAGGCTGGATGGGACTAGCCGAGATTCTCCGGTTGGTACTTGACTTTCATGAGACAAGCAATGGTTCCGTGCCTGCAATATATATAGCTTCATAACATTAGTTTCCTCATCCTAAAAAGGAACAGTAAAAGAACCCAAAAGATGGCATTGTAATTTAAAACAGATTTTCTTGGAGGGAAAAAATACATGCGGAATTGTGATGACCCGTTTCATATTAGAAAAGAAGCACATAAACTTCATGTTCTGTCTAGAAAGCAGCCATCATATTTAATGCTCTTAGACTTCGGTCGGAGGCGGATCCAAAATTTAAACTTACAGTTTTCAACTAGATAGGTTCGATCTTTAAAGTTCTTATGATTGAACTCATTGTACGTCTAAAATTGTGGGTTAATATCTAATACTGGTTGAAATTTCAGTGATTTTTTCCCACATATATATCTATATTCTGCATTGAAAATACTGTTCGGATGATATGCAGGTCAATAGGTCATCTTACAAATATTGAGAAATGATTGTGATAGTAAAAGAGAATTAACTGGTAAAATCAAAAGGTTGTTTACAAATAAAAAATGCCTTAAAAATTCTTACAAGAATGAAATTCTTCTTTGAGCACTCCATACACATAATTCCACCAAAATCCAACAGCAGATATGCGTCGAATGATACAATACATCCACAATGGACCAACTGCGAAGAAAAAAATATTACTGCTAAGAAGCTTTTCTCCACAGCAGTATACATAAGAACAAAGACCTTTTATTCATAGGCATAGCTAAGTTTCTATATGTACAATTATGATCGATACCTTTTTCCACTCACCTTGCCACATGACTCACAATCTCTCCATCCATCATCTCTTCTATGGAAAGTCTCGCAAAACCTCTCAGCCTCATACACAGAACTAGAGGAAAAAATAGGAACTAATCAAAAGATAAATCACATTCATTAATAGCCTTACAAGCATCAACATGTTACACCATATTAAGCCAAGTGAAGGGAGGACTGATATCACTTCATCTAACTAAGCAGATTATGACACTCAAAGTTTCCTGATTTGGAACTAGTCATGTCATTCATTTCTCCTTTAACCGCAGAGAGCAGTTACCATTCCATTCACCAAAAATCAAATTGTTATATATTGACTTTTTTCGGAAGTGGCTAGCAGTTAAAAGAAATATATGAGATTACATTCTGACTTCATCCTTGGACAAATAAAGTCGTAGAGAAGTTCTTACTTGGAGGAACTTCATTATCAAAAGTCAAATCGCCTAAGAGTGTTACTCGCAAGAACCTACCACATGAACTGATTAATACTAATGTCAGTCCAGATACATTGTTTCTGGGGATTGATAAGCATCTTGAGTAGCATATGGTCAAATAATCGACCTTTAAACTGTTGGAACTGAGTTCGTATAAGACCTAGAGCAACAGAGTTTCTAGGGATTGATAATCATATACTCCCTCCGTCCTGATTTATGTGGCGGTGTTTGACTCGGCACAAAGTTTAATAAAAAAGGAAGATTTTTGAATCTTGTAGTCTAAAGACTTAGATATTTGTGTGGCTGTAAATTATTTCATTAAGGGTAAGTAGGAATTTTAAAGTTAAATTATTTCTAAATAAAGAAGTATGACATTCTTTTTGGGACATACTAAAACAGAAAGTATGATATACAAATTGGGACAGAGGGAATAGCTCCTTTCTACGGAACCAAATGAACACACTTACCGTCTTACTCTAAGATGAGTATCGACCAATGTTGAAAGACAGTTCAAAATTTGAGCTAAATTTGAATAAGATTTGGCAGTAGCAGAACTCTGTTAAAATTACAAAACTTCAACTTTCCGCCTTGTCAAGAAAGAAATAACAAGTCTTCTAATGGAAAATTGGCAGATTAAATCACCAGAAATGTCCAAAAATTTCAAACCAGGCATTTTGAAACTGAATGGATCAGATTCTATTCTCGTACAGCTATGTGTTGCATCCCGGTATTTCATGTGAGTGCTATGTTTTAAAAGATTGCTTAAGAAGCAAGAAAACTTGAAACAAAGGAACTGACTAGAATAAATCCCAATGAAACATCCACACATCCAAAAATTACAAATACCTACACAAAACCTACTCACCCATGTATGGAAAATCTCTAGCAAAAATTCACAAACTTTAATAAACAAGACATTAAAAAGAGTCCGGCCATTTCTGGTACCATATGCAGTGGAGCCAGGAATTTATGCAGGGGTTCAAAATATAAAATAGGAAACACATGAGAAGTCAAAGGGATTCAACATATACTATATATACATAAAAAATAAAAAAATTGACCTAGTATATATAGTGTAATTTTTGGGCGAAAGGGCCTCCTTCCACCCCCTGGTTCCACCCATGACCATAGGCACAAACTATCATCACTAGTAGCTTCATGAACAGCTATATTTTACATTTCTGTTTTTTTTTTATTGTGAGTGCTATTCTTTAAGAGATTGCTTGAGGAGCAAGAAAACTTGGAAACAAAGAAACTATTTAAGAAAATGCCAAATTAAGAAATACTCATATGAAAAGCCAATTTTTCACACCCATTAAACGCAAAATCTCTAGTCAGCAATGCTCAATAACAAATTCCCAAACTCTAATAAACCAATAACTTAAATGGAAAATACAAAACTGGCTGGTCTGCTCAAACTAATTGCATTCGCCCAAAAGTGTATAAAATATATATTTTTTGTATATGTATATACACATATATACAAAAAAAAATTATATATTTTGTCGGCTATTATTTCTGAGAGCGGCTAAAAATATACATTTTTGTAACTTATAAGGCTTCCCATTTCTGTCATGAATTATTATCACCAATAAGACAATTTTTTGGGGGGAGTGAATAAATACTTACGCGCAAAGATGACAGAGCTGAGCAAACTTGCCACTGCGAAGACGCCAACCATTTCTGAAATTAGCTGAGGTTGAATCTTTACATTGAAAGCAGGGACTTCTTGAGGAAGAAGAAGCCATTGAAGCTTTCAGAAACCCTAACGGGATTGTTGTTAAGCTTTGCTTGTTTTGCTTACCTCTTCACTTTGTAATATTTCAGAGAGGCAATTATTTCAATTGAAACCCGCGCCATTTGGATTACTCAATTGGAGAAGAAGGGTCTTGAAAGAGGAGGGAAATCAACCGACTTGGGGTGAAAGAGCGGGAATTTCTTTTGCTTAAAGCATCAGGTACACATCTTGGGAAATTGGAAAGTTGTGCTGAAATTACATGTGTACCCATGGGCAATCATTATTTTTAAATTTGCACTTATAATTCTTCAGTTTGCTCACTGTTTACCCTAAAAAATGGATAACAATTAAACTTATAATGTGGTTTTAAGGACACGTGATTTCACCTAATACCAATTGATAAATATAAAGAGTAATAATAGAAATTAACAATAAAACTAAGCAAACCAGTGTTTGAACAGAATTCAGCCCTCGAGTTTGAATACCATCGAACTGATCGATCCAAGAATAGTTAAAAATATAGCAATCTGATGAACAGGAATATAAGCTAGAAAGTATTGTATTGCTTTGATATGTGTCAATGTAAGGTGTTTACAAAATGATAAGAACCCTCTTTATATAGTAGAGGAATCTTATCTATGGTACAATTCAAATTACGGAAGTAAATCTCATGATTAGCCTAAACAATCGCCCTTGATTTGATATGTTCCGGAATTTCCGCCGTGATCTTCGATTGGTCACGGATATCTCGTTTTTCCGTTATTGCGCTTTGCTCGAAGTCTGCCATATTTGGTCTCGATCGTTGCTGGCCTACAAGCACCTCGATCCTCGAACTCGATACCTTGTCTTCGTGCTCTGGTCTGATCCACTACGAGGATGGCCTTCGATGCAATTCCCTGGCCTCGATCAAATTTTAACCGTATACGGATGGTCCCCTCGTTTCTTGGGGTGTAATGAGAAGAAACGAACTGAACCTTCGATTTTATACCTCGACTTGTCATGACGTCATCCTCGTGACACAAGCGATGGAAGTAACTGAAACGTCCGTCGGTTCATATATATTGAGGCATTAAATGCATGTCAGTTGTTATCGGCCATTATTGGTTCTGAACCGTCATCTTCATCCTATAAATGTGCTTTCCTTCTTTTTGCCCAAACTTTACTCTTGATCTCTGCTCTAATCTTCAAAGCTTTTTACATCTCTTAAGCTTTTACGTTCTGCACAATCCCTAGGCTTGGTTATCAACCTTCCCTCAAAACACCAGGACTTATCCTCTTCGCCTTTCTTTAGACTTCACAAAAATGGCAAAAATGTCAAAAATTGTTCCTCAAAAGGAAAACGCTATCGCGGCCGGCTGGCGATAAAACATCGGTGGAGCCGCGCCCTGAGGAATGTGTTCCCAGAAGGGGGGTGTCCTTGATTCCGACTTCAAAGTCGAGAAGACTTCGTCGGTCCCTGGTCGGTGCGAGCCTATGTCGAGATATATATGCTCGATAACTAAGAGTGACCTTGAGCAGGTAAAGAAAGACTGACATTGGGAAGATAAAGAGGTGGTGATTCCGGCCCCCGAAGAAGACATCACTACCCATGTGGAAGGGTTTCTAAGTGTTTGCACTTACCCTTTCACGCTGGGCCCTGTCGAACCCGTCATTATCGATTTTTGCAGTCAATATCAAATAACCCTGGTCAGATCTATCCTTCTTTTTGGCGGATTGTCATTCTACTCCGATTCTTTGCGAGAAAAGCCGAAGGGATGCCTTTCACCCTCGACCACCTCATTAAGTTGTATAGCCCCGACTCTTTCGAGGCGGGTTAATAAAACTCCAACGTCGGGCCACCAAGGTGTTGTTCTCGAGTATAGATGAGGAAAAGGATCGAGGGTGGATGGGAAGGCTCGTTCGAGTGAAGACTCCGGACCTAATCTCGGCCGAGAAGATGCCATTTACCGAGAAGTGGAATATGAAGCGTAAGTACAATCCTGCCTTTAGCTTCCATTTATTGTTTTGTTTTCTTTGCTTCTTCTTATCGTCATCCTTTTCTACGATGTAGCGGTCTCTTGGATGCCCGGTGCAATTCCTAACCTCGAGAGCTGGGTTCGGTCCTTGGCTTCGACCTCATCGTACGCTGAGCGCTCATGGCACGATTTGGCAAGGGGTCGATGGGAGGCCAAAAATCACGGTAAGCCCTTTTTCACATACTTGATGATATTCGCTAAAATATTTCTTTTCATACTCACTTGATTTACTTTCATATAGGCCTCGGAAAAGATGCTATCATGAGACCCCCGTTCGGGGAGGAGGAGGTTTCGCCCGTCCCTGAAGCCGGCGAAGGATAAAAAGAAAAAAAGGGTCTCATCCTCCGAGACTCCAAAGCCCAAGAAGAGTAAGGCTCGTAAGTCGAAGAAAGACACCGAAGTCCTGCCTACGGAGGTAGTTCAGCGACTAAGAGAGGAAGAAGAGGAAAATGAAGATGATGGCTCCGAGCTGGCGGCCCGAACGAAAAGGAGCACCGAGGCCCCAAAGGCATCTGAGTCGTTGAGTGTTGGAGAGATTCAGCCTCAAACCGAGGAGATCTCGGAAGAAGGACCGAGCAAAGTCCCCGAATCATCGGAGACTGAATATGCCTCCCATCGAAATGAGCAATCGGTGGGTATGCTTGAAGGGGCTGACTTCGAGGCCCTTCGAAATGAAGAGAACGCCCCAAGTGACTTGCTTGGGGCAATAGAAATTGGCTATTCGTCGACCCTCCCTACATTTTCTGAGGGGGCAATTCAGGAAGCCCAGGCCATGGGGACCCCCGATGTGGAAAGAGCCCACGGAGGGGAGGACCTTTTTTGTAGTTACTTTACGGGAGTCGAAGATGCTACCGACCTGAGTGAGGCATTGAGCCTCTTTGATGAAGCTCAACTACTTCTGAGCCAGGCAAGTCTCAGCTCCCCTCATCGATATCACACTTGCATTTATTTCTTTTTGCCTAATTTCCTTTCTTTCTGCATAGGCCTTGACACTTCATCGGGATGCGTTTTCTAAATCCGGGCAGAGCTGAGCCGATGAGAGGCCGATCTTCAAAGGCTTACAGAGGAGAGAAATGCCCTCAAACTTCTCAACGGGCAAAAAGAAGAAGAGATCAAGGACCTCCGAGCCAAATTGGCCACAACTCATAAAGGGCAGACCGACCTGATTGAGTAGGTAATGCAAATTTTTAGAAGCTCAATGTATCAATTCGGGGATGATGACTAATACTTCGATCCTACAGGTTTAGCAGAAGGTCGAAAAGATCGAACAGCTCTGTGAGGAGGCCAACATGATGAGGGCGGAGACTTTATGGTGGAAACAAAACATGGACCCCCTTGCCTCGGAGAAAGATGTTGCTCGGCGGTCCGTCGGGGTTGACTGGAGGTACTCCATTTCCTGGGGAGACTATGTTTTCGTTCTCGCCATGAAGACCAAGGCCGTTGTCTGTGTGAGTGGGTGCTACTTGAGAGTTTGACATGTTGATTCCTGAAATCAAAGACACTTACTAGAACAAGCGTAAAGCAGTGTGTATTATGGGAATTAATACCAGGCAATCACAATTATCTATAGCCCATGGTGGGCGCCAAATTGTTTACCCTAAAAATTAGATAACAATTAAACTTATAATTGTCGCGCCCCTTTTTTCTCGCGAAATCGGGTTTCGACACGTGACAACTCTTTTAAGGAAGGTGTTAAAAGAGCCACCACCTACGGGTTTGAGGTGCGTTAGGGCACCTATTTGCAAACAACTCAGGTTTAACCAGTTTATGTCACCGAAGATCGGGTAAGGGCTCCAAATTACCTCGAAGAGAAGGTGTTAAGCACTCTTCGAGGTCCACAGCTGTGGGTCCTGGTCGAACTCGAATTATATGAATTAGTCTATGTGATCAAATAAACGAAGAAAGAGCACAAAAATTTAAGAAGTTTATTATAAACATGTTTTAAACAGAAGGTACAACTATTTTTTTATTCTAGTAGGAAAAGAAAGAATGCGGGGGGGGGGGGGGGGG